ACACAGTTGTTTTCAAGGGTTTGATTATTGCGGTTGCCTAATATCCAATTATTTACGATGTTTTCTAACAGTGATATACATAACAAAGGCGAGCATGGGTGAGTTGATGTGCATTATTAATGCTATATTTATAGATATTTTTTCTTTAAAAATGTGAGAATCTCACTCTAACTATAATGACAGTACAAAACAGTATTGCTGCTTCAGAATATTTCAGACATATGGACACATATTGGATAAGTGGAGCAAAGCCACACCACATCATCCATAGTTAAATAAATTTGATTTAAAAAACGTGCAACATTTTCATACTAGAAATCATGTTTTTTTTTTTTTTTTTTTTTTTTTTGAGGGAATGCAACTGATTTGCTGATATGCTGCACTGGCCACTTTCAATACGAGATCAATGTAGTGAATTTTGATGCTCTCACAGGCGGAGCTGTAAAGGCAGACAGGGTTGCCACAGAGGAATAAACCGCCAACTTATCCAGCATATCGTCACCTTGTAATTGTAAGGTTCAATGTGCGTTCTGAATGATTTTAAAATAATGATCTGTAAACTTTTTTGCATTCCATAGCAAACAGTATGTGTGTAACATTTGATTTTAAAATAAAATGTTCTGAATGATTTTAAAATAATGATCTGTAAAGTTCTGAATGATTTTAAAATAATGATCTGTAAAGTTTTTGCATTCCATAGCAAACAGTATGTGTGTAACATTTGATTTTGAAATAAAAAGCCTTAAAATGTAAACAACTCCAAAAAACAATGTAAATAAGTTGTCATTTAAAAATAATATGTCAATAACTCAATTTTGACAAAAATATCAGATAGAACCTTAGAATTCTAAGGTGACGATATGTTTTACCCTTCCAGCTGCAACCCAATACTAGGAAACACCCATACACTCTCACATTCACACACATACACTCATTTATTTACTCATTTATTTTTTTTCCAGCTTTGCCCTTTATTAATCTGGGATCGCCACAGCGGAATGAACCACCAACTTATCCACCATATGCTTTACACAGCGGATGCCCTTCCAGCTGCAAATCATCACTGGAAAACACCCACACACACTTATTCACACACATACACTACAGACAATTTAGCCTACCCAATGTAGCTTCACCTATAACGCATGTCTTTGGACTTGTGAGGGGAAACCAGAGCACCCGGAGGAAACCAAGGCGAACACAGGGAGAACATACAAACTCCACACAGAAATGTTTACTGGCCCAGCCGAGGCTCGAACCATCGACCTTCTTGCTATGAGGCGACAGTGCTACCCACTGCGCCACTGTGCCACTGCGCGTCTCACACACGTACACTACGGACAATTTAGTTTATTAAATTCACCTATACCGCATGTCGTTGGACTATAGAGGGAAACCATAGCACCTGGAGGAAACCCATGCCAACATGGGGGAGAACATATGAACTCCACACACAAATGCCAACTGACCCAGCTGGGACTCGAACCAGTGAACTTGCTGCGAGGCTACGGTGCTAACCGCTAAGCCACTGTGTTGCCCTATTTGAAATATTTTTTTATTTTATATTATATTATAGATATAATGTTTAGCATACTTTTAAATACTATTTAATTTAATGTTTCTTAAATATTTTGTTTAGTTTAGAGACCTTAGCTTTATTCTTAGCCGATCCTCTTGGAGCTTCTGATATACTAAGCCTATAGTTTATTTTTGAGTTTTTTTAGTTTATAAAGTGTATTCAATAAAATATTTATTTTTAAATTAAGGGTTTTTTATTTTGCATTTTTATTTGGATTTCAATCTTTCAAGTATTATTACTTTTAGATGTTTTTTTTTTAATCTTAATATTCATTTATTGCTTTTTTTTTTTTTGGTAAATAGAAATTATTAATGCAGTTATTTAAATTGTAAAATTGAAAAAAAAATCTTTTGCAATAATGTAAGCATTATGACTATTTTTAATGTGTCCTGACCAAACTTTGGTACATGAATGTATATACACATAACGTGCACTGTATAATATGATGTACAGACTGACCCCTCTCTGTGACTGTGTTTCAGTAGTTCAGTGTGTAATCAGTCCAGTGGTCTGGAGGCTCTGGGTTTGGCTGACATCCGGATCCTGGTGCGTCTAATGTGTCTGGCCGCTGGGGGGCGTGTCCAAACAGGAATGGACCAACAGGGAATGGGGCGTGGCTCTGCGAGTGACCGCCCAGGCTCCGCCTTTCTGTCCTTCCTCAGCTCAGCCATTGGCAGTTTAGTGTCGCACAGTCCTGCTGCCTACCGAGAGTTGGTGGACATCTGCACACAGGTATACTAGTGTCAGTTTTGAACATTTTGATTTAGTTTTCTTCTTAGTCTTATAACTAAAATGCCTTTCAGTCTTATTTTAGATCATTTTAATATTAGTCAACTACATTTAACAAGATTTTAATTGACTAAATATACTCTAAACTAAATCTAAGTTAGACTAGTTTAGACTTACTAAAATGGAACAAGTTTCAATAATTGTGTTGATGTTTAAAATTTCTTCGCTCATTTTATACCTCCTGGGAAAACACATCAATGAGAATAAGGTTTAAACACAGATTTAAGTGCTGTATGTGATGTAAATTAAAACACTTCCCATAATATGTATTCTTTATAATAATCTAGCTATATAAATCAGATCTTGAAATTGACATTTTTACTTGGGAGCACTGGTGCTCCTAACTTTAAAATTTAGTCGCACAGCCAAAATTTGGTCGCACACACCAATAATGAACAACGTTACTACACGTTTTATATTAACAGAACTATTGCATTTGAAATCAACACCACTCAAAACTAACAAACAAAAAAAATGCATGCGCCCACTGGCCCTGCACACACTGCTTGACATGAATAAACCTTAGTTGACCAAAATAACTGTGCTGTTCTCATGGTGCTCTCAGATATTGTCAAATAATGTATTATTTGCTTATGTCATCTTACTAGCATTACCGGTCTTTTCATGAGCTGCTATATTAGTATAATCTTAGTGAATGCATGCCTTTTTGCCATGGTGTAAGCGATGTTGTATTTTACATAAGGCTGCCACTTGCACAGCTAACAGCATCCTGACAATTAAATGAAGGATTAAATCCTCTTGCTCTTAAACTGTGTAGATGTGACAAACGCCGTTACCTGCAAACTCAGTCCCACTGGCCTTACACAGTAAACGGCTTTAGCCATTTTCATAGATTTAATTTACTCTTAAAAATTGTATATCGTGCATTCACCCTATGATCACTGATCAGATGTGTCATTATTTGTAACTTTAGGTGGTTTCTAAAACAAAATCTCTCAGTGTTACTTTCATTGTCTCATCTTCAGGGCTTTTCGCAGTTGTTATCTGAAGGCATTGACTGAGTAATTGACAGCTGATATTAACCAGTCCATTGGCATTCAGTGCTAGAGTGGTGGGCCAATCAGAAGAGCTTGAAGGCGGGGCAAGCATTTTGGGCTTTGTTTACTGCAGCAAGTTGACATAAGTGCTTTGTTTTGCATTTTAGGTGCATTCTGCATGAATGTCTCCTAAATATGCACTTTTGGCGCAGATTTTGCTGTGAAAACTGGTCCCACGGCAACATTTTTAAAAATTTACTCGCACAAATGCTCTCAAATATACTTTGAGGTCGCACAGATAAAATTTCAGGCGCATATGCGACCAAAATGATCGCAATTTTGAGCCCTGTAAATATAGAAATATTTAATTCTTTCAACCAGAAATTTATTTGCATACATTTTATTATTGCTACAGCAACTACACTCATAAAGTCATAAACAGTAATTAGCTTTTAAAAGGTTGATTTGTTTGGTTGCTGTCAATTTAATTCCAAAGACAAGCCAAACTATTAATCAAAGGCGATTGTTATGTACATTTGTCAGTAAAGCCAGTTCTGTGATTAGTATTAAATGTATAGCACATGCTTTTAGATGGAGCAGCATTTACTGCATAGAGCCGTAGTACTGACAAGCTATGACATTGCCAGCCAATGGACCCTTAGCTAACCCACACCCAAAAACCGCCACCCAACAATCGTGGCTTACGCCTGTTTCACACCGCAAGCGTCAGCGGCGCGTGAGCAGAGCGTGAGCAGCGCGTATGTCGAGCAGTAGCAGCACGCAGGCGTTTGCCTTTCACACCAGCTGCGTCTGCAGCGCGCAGCTCTTCGGCAGCTGCTGCTGAGATCAACCTATCTGTCTATTCTATCTAGTTACCCCTCTATATACAAATACACTTTTTAAACTTTTCATCTGCACCAAGGCCCCTCCTATGCTGTTTCATTAACCTGCAAATGTTTATTTTACAAATTTTATAGATCAAATAGCACTGTATGCTTCTAAAGTTAACTTATATGAAAAGTGTCTACAGTCAGAAGACAATCGCCTGTGATATCATGTCATTTGTTTTTTGATTATCAGGTTGCTGTAGACCTAGTTATAATAATATTTATACAATATAGTTATAATGATATTTATACATGATCAAACTAGTGTTACTTTCTCCGCTTCAGTGATGTCCAGCGGCAGAAAAACAGCTCGTTAATTCATGCTCGTGCAGATGATGAGACGGACAAAAGTAATTAATGCATGCCATTCTTTTACTTATTTTCGTGTTGTCAGATTCACAGTGCAAACAGCTCCCGGTAAGAATAATTTGAGTGAACATAAAACAAAGCCGATTAAAACTTTCTTGCTCTGCTAGCTGCACAGAACACAGCGAGGTCACATAATCCAGCATGCGTGTCGAACTACACTACCCACAATACACTTCGCTATGGACTACAAATCCCGTAAATATTCCATTTCCCCTCTCCTACAACACTAGTGTGCAACTTAAGCAAAACTGATAGTAAAATAGTTTTACATTTGGTTTTGTAGTTCGGGCCTAAATAAATGTTTGTTGCCGTTTTTAATCGTTTTAAGTTCATTTGAATGACTATATATAAACCATTTGACATTATTAACGCATTTATTGGGTAAAATTGTTAGTTTTTACTGTCATTCAATGTGTTTTGGTCATTCTCAATGCACTGTCACTTTAATTGAGCGTGAGCAGCGCGTCAAAAATAGACCCAGCGCCGAAACTATCGCTGCACTGCTGCTTCGGCGACGCTCACGCCTCGCACTGACGCGCTGCTGCTGCGTGCGGTATGAAAGCTCTAATCTGTTAACATGGACGCCGAAAACACACGCGCTGCTCACGCGCCGCTGACGCTTGCGGTGTGAAACAGGCGTTAGCGTAGGTGCTCTGTCAAGCTTTTGAGCGAAGAAAACAAGCCAAAGCGATGTGCATATGAAATGTGCAAATCTGATACCCGTGATCCTAAAAGTTTGGATGGGGTCCAAAACCAAAAACCTAAGGGGAGAAATGCCAGCGTTGATCAAGCTCTGTGAGAGGCACTAAAGGAGCGGCGTTAAGTTGGTTTTGTTTTGATATTCCTGACACAGTTATAGATGGCAACAACTCACACACCTCGTGTCCATGTCAGAGCTACAATTCGCAGATGTTTTTGTCGGTCTTTTGACGATTTATTCATTGGTGACGACGTTATACAGGGTCAGTGTCTGCTTTTATATTTGGTGTCTGATTAATATTTGCTGGTAAAGCAGTTAAGCATTGTGTTAATTATGCAACCGCTATAGGGATTTCCTGGGTTTCTTCTTTGTGCCATATTTGGATGTTTGTACTAGAGCGCCCTCTGGCCTTATTAAGCTTGATTTACTACTGATCACACAACAGTTTTTCCCTGACAAGAGGAACATGACAATCTCTGCTTTTGCAAAATTGCGATGCCAATTTCTTTACACTTTATCATGCAGGCACAGATAAAAGGCAATACTGATACTTCTTCATTCATTCATTATCACTTGGCTTAGTGACATTTATCAGGGGCCGCCACAGTGGAATGAACCGCCAAATATTCCAGCATATGTTTTACACAGCGGGTGCCCTTCCAGCTGCAATCCAGTACAAGGAAACACCCATACACACTCATGCATTCACACACTCACTCATATACTACAGTAAATTTAGTTTGTTCAATTCACCTACAGTGCAGTTTTTGGACTGTGGGGGAAACCGGACCACCTGGAAGAAACCCACACCAACACAGGAAGAACATACAAACTCTAAAGAGAAATGCCAACTGGTCCAGCCGGGACTCGAATAAGTGTCCTTCTTGATGCGAGGCGACAGTGCTAACCACAGAACCACCGTGCCGCCTCTAATACTTTTTGTTTTAGTATTTTAAAGAGAATTCCGTGATTGTTCTGGAGCCTCACACACTCTAACAATCTTTAATTTATTACATTGACATTGCAGCATCAAGGCACACACTCCCTCTCTTTCTGAACTCAGCTAATGCACCTCACCTCATTACCCTTGCTTTGCTCTTCATCATTCTCTCTGTTCAGCTCATTTATTCATGCTGTCTTCTTTTAATCATGCTGTCTCACCTTGCCACTCAGGATCTCATGGCAGCAGCTACTGGCATGAACATCAGTGCTATTGCTGATCCACAGCAGAGGACGAGACAAGGCTCTGCCCTGAAGGGGATGGTGTTACAGGAGCCAAGAGAACTGACCCCTCCCACATTCCTGGTCACACAGAGCCTGGTGTCGCTCCTGACGGAAAAAGGCATTCGTTACCGTTACAACTTGGAGAGAAGCGAATCCGTGGAATCAAAGGGTAAAAACAATATATTTAGTTGACATTTACAAATATTTAATTTATTAAATTTTTTGCAGATATGCCTTTATGTATTTATTTATTTAGTTCTTTGTGCAGAGGTTATTTGAGTGTTTTTATATATATTTTACTTATAACAGTTTTTATCAGTACAAAACGGAACAAAAACATTTATACAAACTTTCAAGCTTTTTATACAAATGATAAAGGAAAAAATACAGAAAAAATTAAAAAAGTAAATTAATAATAAAAATAATAATTAAAAAAACACACAAAAACAAAGCAAAACAAAAAACAAGCACCAGTCCATCCAAACATGCACCAAATAGAGAAAATAATGTACATCATTAAGTTTTACTTGATCAAACTCGAAACATTAAAAATGGAGTAGAAAAGTAAGAGTAAAATAGTCCATGAATCCTAAGTGCTCTACTTTCAATTCTTAAAAAGATAAGCAAGGAAGAGGCCCCAGGTTTTTTCTAACTTTTTAGAAGCATCTGCTCTAGCAAAATGAATTCTTTCAAGCTTAAGTGCAGCAACCATTTCAGTCAGCCATTTATCAAAAGTAGGTGATAGACTTCCAATCCATCAAGATCACTCTTTTAGCCACCACCTTTCCAAACATAAAAGAAACATTTGCTGATTATATGACCATGCTAACACCAGGGTCATAGTGTCCAAACAGGGCTAATTCAAAATCTGGACTAATGTTTTCTCCTAAAACATTTGAATAAAAATGAAAAATATTCTTCCAAATCTCTGAGACCTCAGGGCAAAACCAAAAAGTATGAGCATATGTTCTCTCTGAATTCTGTCACATCATGGGAAAATTTGATTGAGTTTACTTTTGGTGTAATGTAGCCTATGTATCTCTTTAAACTGTATTGAGTTGTAGTCTTGCATTGATAGAACAGGTATGAATTCGCTTCAGCCCCTTTAATTTAATTTAATTTCTTTAATATGATATTTTGTTTAGTTTGATTAGAGATTCACAGTTTTATTGTCAGCTTAACCCCTCCTTTAATTTTTAGTAACTATTCAAACTGTTAAAGTTTAGATTTCCAGTTATGCAAGATTTATAGAGCAATTTTAGATCATTAAATTGTGAATTTTAAATATTTTCTATCTTTTTCTCTCATCGTTTAATTTGTTACAAACAATTTTTTATTATTAACAAAGAGCTGTACTATACATTATACACTTTATTATAATATGGTTCAAAAACATATTATAAATTACTCAAATTTTTTTATGTGGAGAGTGTTATATCTTCTATACCAGGGGTGGCCAACCCTGTTCCTGAAGAGATACCTTCCTGCAGATTTCAGTTGCTACCCATATCAAACACACCTGAACCAATTAATTAGGACCTGAACACCTCATGATAATTACAGGCAGGTGTGTTTGATATGGGTTGCAACTGAAATCTGCAGGAAGGTGGCTCTCCAAGAACTGGGTTAGCCACCCCTGTTCTATACATATACATGAAAAAACAGATGAAAGCATAGAAAAAGTGTGGATGCATAGTCTACATTACTACTATTATCATCATTATTATATGTTTTTGGTGGAGGGTAAACAGCGCTCCACAATAATAACCGTCTAGTTTTGCTCGAAAGGTTTGCTTTTCTTTTTTTGTTTGGTCGACTTACCATCAAACATTTAAAGCTCCTGCACATCTTGATGTTACGGTTGTTTCTTCCGCTAAAAAAAGCCAGTAAAGACTTGGAATATTGCGAAACAAGACAGAGATTTCATTGCAGGAATTACATGGCAGGGTACGTTATTTATATTCTCCTGGATTTTATATAAGTGTGGTGGTGTTTGTATTTGATTTTTATATAACACATTAACATATAGTACACATAGCCAGGCCTCCATATAATAATTATTAGTGCTGTCAAACAAATTATCATGTTCAAAAAAAAGTTTGTACACATAATTGTATGAATAAATGTTTATTATATGCTGCCATTTCTTCTGTTTTTAAGCTAGCTATGCTTTTAAACTTTTAAAAAATCTACAATAGCTGTTGGGCATTTATCATTTTGGCCGATTTAAACAATTATAAACAACACAAAACATAATTTTTTAATGTTCTGATAGTGATTCCTATGTAGAAGAATAACTTCCTGCCCTCCATCGGAGTACCAGTGAATGATTTGTTATTAATTTGTCCTAATTAACGCTGTATGTGATTGGACAGATGGAGGAAGTCCCCCACCCTCAGGTCCTTCTCTGTCTCAGGCGGGGGTTCGGGTCGGTCCTCTGGAGCTGGCTAATGCGCTTGCGGCCTGTGTGCTGTCAGCCAGACTGACCTCCAGACACCGTCAGTGGGCAGCACAGCAGCTGGTGCAGGCGCTGGCCATCTCTGAGAAAGAAAACACAGCCAGACCACAGACCTACAGCGACATGGCCGGAGATCTGCGCAAGTGCCCTGTCAGGAAGCTGGAAGGACATCAGAACAGGGTAAAGAGGGACACACTAACAATTAATGGGGCTTTAATATTTTTGAATTCCACAAACACTTACACTGAAGTACTGAGATTTTTTCCAGAAATATACACGAAGTAGAATTCTGAATTTAAATGCTTTTCACCTATGTGAACTACACGTGGTTGAGTTGTGTCAGTAGTTTGGTGTTTTCATGTTGCACAGATCTGCACAAGCAACAGTACTAGTAATTCTGTGTTTTTTATTAGGGCTGAAAAAATTATTATCACGATTATTTTGCTCAAAATGTTAATCATGATTAATAATGACAATTATTCCTTTGTATTTATGTATATATATATATATATATATATACATATATATATATATATATATATATACATATATATATACATACGGTGAGGTCAATAAGTATTCGATCACCCTGTGATTGTTCAATATCTCCTAGACCCATCTCATGGAGGGATCTAGAGTTTTCACCATTGGTGCATTTCCACTTTCAGAGACGGAATCTAAAAATAATATCCAGAAATCACGTTGGATGATTTTTTAACAATTTTTTTGTAAATTACTGTGTCAAATAAGTATTTAATCACTTGCTTTTCAGCCAGATTTTTTACCCTTAAAGACCTGTTAGTTTGCTTTTAAATAGTCCAGCTACTTTCTGCTCATGATTCTAATTTAGTAGCACCTGTTTGAGGTTGATAGCTGTCTTAAAGACACCTGTGCACCCCACAATCATTCAAAAGTCTAAGCAGCAACATAAACAAAACCAACGAGCTGTCAAAAGACACAAGAGACATAATTGTAGACCTTTATTCAGCTTGGTGAAAAAAGAACAACTGTTGGAGCAATTGTTAGAAAGTGGAAGAGGCTAATGATGACTGTCAATGTCCCTCAGACTGGGGCCCCACGGAAGATCTCTCCTCGTGCGGTATCAATGATGCTAAGAATGGTCAAGAATCAGCCCAGAACTACACAAGAGGAGCTGGTCAATGATGTGAAGAGAGCAGGATCCACTGTTTCCAAGGCTACCATCAGTAATACATTAAAATGTCATGGTTTAAAACCATGCATCACAAGGAAGGTTCCCCTGCTTAAGTCAGCCCATGTCAAGGCCTGTCTGAATTTTACCTGGGACCATATGGAAGATCTAGAGGAGTCATGGGAGAAAGTCCTGTGGTCAGATAAGACAAAAGTAAAACGTTTTGGTCTTAGCTCCATACGCCATGTTTGGAGGAAGAAGAAAGATGAGTATCGTCTCAATGAAACCATACCTACAGTGAAGCATGGGGCTGGAAGCATCATACTCTAGGGTGTTTTTCTGCACAGGGGACTGGGCGACTGCACTGTATAAAGGAAAGGGGAAAAGGGCCATGTATTGTGAGATATTGGGCAAAAACCTTCTTCCCTCAGGCAGAGCATTAAAGATGGGTCGTGGCTGGGTCTTCCAAAATGACAATGACCCAAACCACACAGCCATAAAAACCAAGGAGTGGCTCCATAAGAAGCATATCAAGGTTTTGGAGTGGCCTAGCCAGTCTCCAGACCTAAATCCAATAGAAAATCTTTGGGGGGAGCTGAAACTCTGTGTTGCTCAGTGACAGCCACGAAAGATCTCGAGATCTACCTAAGCTCAAACTCTTCTCTTGCCCTGCAAACAGGAGGGACCCCCGGGCTCAGGGCTCTTTCCCTGACAGCATGCCAAACTAGCTTTTTACCAATCTTCAGCTAAGTGTAAACTCTTGAAACCATGTTTATTTCTAGAACCATAAAAGATCTCCATACAGCAGCATATTTACTCGTATCTTGTCACATTTGCCAAGAATAGACCAAGATCGTTGCTGAAAGGCTGAATAAACTCAACTACATCAAATAACCATTCAGAAACTTTCTGGTTCAGTCTACCCTTGGTATTTTTTAATCAGAAACTGGTTCGTTGCTTCATCTGTGTCTTAGTTACTTTCCGTGTCTGTCAGTGTTTATCTGTTGTGATGTGAAGAACAAGCTCATTAGCATTAAAAGGCACAGGTGCAAAACTGCTTTAATTTTCTTTAACCCCAAAATTTACATTTTCAACAGGGTATAATTAATGACTTTGTGTATTTTTGAGCTGAAACTTAACAAACACGCTCAGGAGACAGCAAAGACTTATTTTACGTCTTGTAAAAAGGGGCAAAACAGAAGCACTTTAAACTCGCATTTGTTGTAAATCAAATGTTCTCGCGGGCCTCATAAGGCGGGCCGGAATTTGGTCTGTGGCTTTGAGTTTGACATCCCTGGTCTGAAGCATCCCTGAATACCTTGACTTTTTTGGGATTATGTGTTGTGTTTGTAGGTGAGCAGCTGCAGCTGGAATGCAGAACAGGGTCTGTTGGCCAGCGGCTCTCAGGACGGCACCGTTCGGCTCTGGAACATAACACCAAACTCAGCAGAACTGCAGCACACACACACCTGCAGTATCAGGTGAGGATGCTTGCTTTCCAGCTCTTTCCTGTGGACAGGCAGAGAGAGCTGAGCATTCTCTAGGTCTGCTGGGAGACTGTCTGACAGCTGTGTGTTTGTGTGTGTTGTTTCTCCAGTGAAGACGCTCAGAGCTCTGATGCTTCGATGGGGTCTCATCTGCTGTCTGCTGTTTCGTGGAGCGCAGGGGGGACTTTACTGGCCGCCTTCCAGAACAAACTGATCAACATCTGGACCGTCAATGGTCAGATCAGCATCCTGCTATCTTTTATACACACTCACACAGATGCAGCACTACTGTAACTGTGCATTGTGTGTAATCAGATGGGTTTAATGTACTTTATAATTGATTTCAAGAGTAGAAGACTTGACTATTTGATGTGGTGCATTTATCATGTATGGCCATACACCCAAATCGCTTCACAATCATGACCACCAGTGTGCAGCATCCACTTGGATGATATGATTGCAGCCAAAGGACAACGGCGCCAGTGCGATCACCACACACACTAGCTGTTGGTGGAGTGGAGAGACAGTGATAGAGCCAATTCGATGGATGGGGATGATTGGGAGGCCATGATGGGTAGGGGCAGATGAACGGTATTTGGCCAGGACACCAGGGTTACACGCCTACTCTTTACGAGAAATGCCATGGGATTTTTAATGACTAAGAGAGTCAGGCTCTCTGTTTAATGTCTCATCTAAAAGACGGCACTTACTGACAATATAGTGTCCCCTTCACTATACTGGGGCATTAGCAGGACTGACTACAGGAGGTTGTGCGCCTCCTGCTGGCCTCACTAACACCACTTCCAACAGCAACCTAGCTCTCCCATGTGGTCTCCCATCCAGGTACTGACCTGGCACAGCCCTACTTAGCTTCAGTAATTAACCGGTCCTGGGCTACAGGGTGAAATGGCTGTGTTGTTTTGTATTATAGTTTTTATAGTTATTTATTTTTAGATGAATTCAAACTTATTTTGGATAGTTGTCAAGACTGGTTTTATTTAAAATTTTATTATAATTATTTCAGTTCTCATCTTGTTTTCAAGTAGTTTTAGGTTTAGTTGTCGGTAAAAAATAATAACTACACTGCATATAACTTAATTCGAGTGAGGAAATTATTCATTAAATGTTTGTGTATTTAAAAACAGAGTTGAAATTAAATACTATTAGTAATTTTATTTTACGCATTGTATTTTTATTGATTTATTATTTTGTTGTTAAGGAGTTAAAGTGTTTTATCCTTGAAACCTGTTATTTATAGTTAGTCGCTATTTTATATTTGTAAATTTCAGTTAACTTTCATTCATTCATTTTCTTGTTGGCTTAGTCCCTTTATTAATCCGGGGTCGCCACAGCGGAATGAACCGCCAACTTATCCAGCAAGTTTTTACGCAGCGGATGCCCTTCCAGCCGCAACCCATCTCTGGGAAACATACACACACACATTCACACACACTCTCATACACTACTGACAATTTAGCATACTGAATTCACCTGTACCACATGTCTTTGGACTGTGGGGAGCACCCGGAGGAAACCCACGCGAAGGCAGGGAGAACATGCAAACTCCACACAGAAACGCCAACTGAGCCGAGGTTCGAATCAGCGACCCAGCGACCTTCTTGCTGTGAGGCGAACGTGCTACCCACTGCCTCGCCTCAGTTAACTTTGATGTGTAAAAATTTAAATACAGCAGGGCTTCCCAATCTTTTTAGCCCCCGATCCCCAAAATAACAATGCCAGTGACTCGCCACCCCCACTATCCTCTAATGCCAAATTCAGACTGCAGGATTTTCAAAGTAGTCGTGTCACAGATGTTTTTACACTGCATGACTATCTGGGTTGTTTTTTTGTTGCTGCTTTGTTTACACTGCAAGATGTATCGACAACAGGGGGTTTCACACTGTATGACTTTAAAATAGTAAGAATCGCCAAGAACTTTGTCCAAACTACGTCTCTTAACCAAAAACACTTAGTATATATTTTGATATTAAGTACATAACGAGAAGAAAGCCTTTAATGTGGTAGAAAATGTACATATTTGCTCACCTGGGTTTGAAGGGAATTAGTAATTTCTGCTCAACTTTTTTCTTTTTTGACCCGGTTGTGATATTGCTCACATGACACGTTAAATAGACACGGGTGCTCCTGCCAAATTTCCACTAGTTTTTCCTCCATTTCTTGGGTCCAAATAAACTGAAAATAAGCGCTTTTAACTTCTCCCCCAGCCTCCAACTGGCCTGCAGGTACCCACACTAGTGGATGCTGCTCTCTTATTGGCTGAAGCTGACCGCTGATGTTATTTTTAGTCAAAACTCATTTAACACGGCATGAGTTGAATCGCCAACAACTCCAGATATTTAGCATGCCAATATCTCACGGGCATCGGCGACTGTGATTCTCTCAGATCACGTCTTTGATAGTTCATTCTGTGTGATTGTCACTCGCCTGCACGAGCACCGATTTGCCTGTGATTTCAGCCATTTTTCTGTGATTTCGCAAAACCTGTTGGCGTCATGGTTAAAATCATTCAGTCTGAACTCAGCATAAGGTGGTTATAAATATACAAACATTGTGCACACAACAATAGGCCTATATAAACACAAGCATATTCACAATAAAAAAAATTATAATTTTTTTAATAGTCATTTATTAATTTGTTTTTGTTTGCATGTTGTTGTTTTTTATGTAACTATTAACTACTATTTTTATTTTCTGTGGGTTATGGATAAAATATGGTAATTATAATAGTTTATTAACATGTATTTGACTTTTGGAATTCATCTAGCGATTCCCTGCCATTGTCCTGTTACTTCAAGGGGGTCCCATTCTCCACTTTGGGAACCACTGAATTACATGATATATTTTGTTCCATTTATCTTTCATTTATAATCATTTCCATATTAATTTTCACAATTGTAGTATTTCAACCTAGAGTTAATATATTTCTAATTTCCTTCACTAGCTTTTTTTTTTTTTTTTTACATGTAATGTAATGAGTAGAAATGACCAGCATTTTATTACCTGCATCTGAATATGCCCTGGACAACACGCTTAAAGTATCTACCTCTAAAAGCATTTGGGTATGTGGTCTTCTTCTCTGCAGGTACTCAGGCACATATAGAGGCTCAGTCGTCCTGGATTACTGCGCTCTCATGGGTCCAAACGTCCACACCGTTCCTCATCCAGGAAGCCAGCAGTCAGCTCAACCCTCCAGAGAGTCTGCTGGTGGGTCGATTGGACGGCTCTCTCTGCTGGCTGGAGGTCACTGAAGACCTGAGGGTGGACCGGACGGAGCTTATGCACTGCCACAGAAAGGAGGGTATGTACCTAAAAACTTGCTTAAGAGCTTTGGTTTTGTGGTTGGATGGACTGTGGAAACCTGTTTCCATTTTTGTGTTTAGCACCTCAATGTCTGGCCTGGTACAGTATTGAGAAACCTTTCGCCGTGGGTTATCCTGATGGTAAAATACTGCTGGGAACAGCCGAGAGCTACGAAACTGAGCCGCCAATTCTGCTGACAGCATTTCCAGTGAGTAACATATCCTCATAAACATTCTTTGTACTCAAGATATTAAATTTGTGAAGTAATTGTTCCCTTGAACAGTTTTTTTTTTTTGGAGATTTTGGGATTCAATTTGAAAGAAAATATCTAAAATACAGCTTTTTCTCCTTCACTGAGTCATAAATCTCCTCTCCTACAGTGCTTACATACTGTACACAAAATATCTCTGCAACTTCAACGTGTAAAAAAACATAAATAAATAAAATTGGTAAACCTGGCAGTACAAATTAATCTTCCATTCTTAAAATAAAACTCATGTGCACATTTAAGCATAAAATATTAGAAAACTTTGAAAAAAATATGACAAATGTTTGCAATCTGGGTGTCACGATGGCGCAGTGGGTAGCACAATTGCCTCACAGCAAGAAGGTCGCTGGTTCAAGCCCTGGCTGGGTCAGTTGGCATTTCTGTGTGGAGTTTGCATGTTCTCCCCGTGTTGCCATAGGTTTCCTCTGGGTGCTCCGGTTTCCCCCACAGTCCAAAGACATGTGCTATAGGTGAATTGAGTAAGCTAAATTGGCTGTAGTGTATGTGTGTGAATGCAAGAGTGTATGGGTGTTTCCCATTATTGGGTTGTGGCTGGCAGTTCATTCCCCAATGAATATGCCAAAAATAAATAAATGAATGAATGAATGTTTGCAATTTGTGATTAGTCAACCTGGAAAATTGCATGACAGCTTAAGTATTTACCATATTCACTTTATTTTAAAAAAAAAAATAATAATAATTATATATATATATATATATATATATATATATATATATATATATATATATATATATATATATATATATATATATATATATATATATATA